GTTGTGGACATAAAAACTAAAAAGGAAAAAGAATCTGGATGGCAAAAAGTGGAAGGGTGGGGTGGCTGTTGCCAAACACAAATGGATTCAAATGACATCATTATTAGGAAGAGATTAAGTTGGTACAAACACACAGCAACACTAAACCATCATATCATCTCGACATAAGACTTATATCTATCCCACACATGAAAAAAGTTGCTTGTAGGCCCTCCAACAGTGTGCCTACTAAATGGCAACTCTTATTAAAGATAGAGTATTCACATGACGCTAGGTTACCTATCATTCTTTAATTCTCCAGGCTTTTGCTCTCATGGGACAATGTATCCTGCAATGGTATGGAAATAATTATTCAAGAATAAAAAATTAATATGGTTAAGGTCATTGACTATTACTTTAGTGATTGTAATTAACTCGGGATAAAGTTGGGATTTATTTATTTATTTTTTGACGGGGTCAAATTGTGGTGAAATGAAAATTTTATTTTTCAATGGAGAACCATTGAGGTGTGAAACATGATTTAAAAACTTGAGGAGGGGGCCATGGCCTCCATGGGTCATAAAATAGCCAATGGACAATACCATCCTTATGTAGCAATACAGGGGCAGAGCATTGCATGACATCTCAAGAACAATAAGGGTAAGGTTACTTACTTCCACACTTCTTTCCCACCGGTCGGTTCCTGATGTTACATCGCTTGGGGATAGTGATAGCAATTGCTGGCTTGATACCGGCCTGCTTTGCCAAAGGCGACAGCAGGACAGTGCAGAGGCATCGCGGAGCAGTCTTGATTAACCCATTAACTTTGGTGCAGCAAGTGGGAGGGACCGTTGCCCTAGCATTTCCTGCAGCGCTCAAGCAGGGACTTAAGCTGGCAGCTGCAGAGCGTATTGGGGTCCTCCCACACTCCCCGGCTGCACCAGCTGTGTATATAAAAACCTCGGAAATTAACAAGTATAGAACCAAAGTCACATAGTAAAATGTCATCTTGGAGGCCATCTTTCTAAGCTTAAAATGAACTTCTATACTATATGGTCCTATGCCAAAAGTGGTGCAAATATATAGAGCTGTATACTGCAATGTGAATGGAGGGAAAGTTTGAGTTTTTGCGGTAGTGGGGTGGTTGTGAAACGGGAGGTAACTATGTGGTGTGCGCTTTAAAGTGTTCAAGACGTAATGATTCAATTGTTTTGTTGGAATTTTGCCATTGGGAGTTGGGCAATGAGAGCTAGGTTCATAGGGGGACACATTATCTTTTCGACTAATGGGCAAGGTGCTTCAAAGGATAAAATTATGCTTGCTAAATTTGTATACAAAATATTGTATCTTAAATGATACGTCAAAATCATGTGTATTGAATACTTGGTGGAAGTTAATATACTCAATTGATTCAATCACCCACATGTGATATAAAATTTGATAAACATAGCATTGCTCTACTTCAATTCTAGCTCATTCCACTCTTTCCATGCTTTTGAATTACTTTTTTTGGCGTGAAGCATTGCTTGGTTGGTGGGATTAGTGACTTTTTGCGAGATGAAGCGTACGTTTAAGCTTTAAATATGAAACTTTTCAAACTTAAGTGTGGTTAAAACTAGGAGGTTCCCAGGGAAATTACAATGCTTCATTGTAGTCTCCTCGGGGACATCCAATAAATTTGGCCCAATCAGATGATTTATTGTATTTTGTTAATTATTTTGTTTTTTGTGTTCATCGTGCTCATCCAAGGTACGTTTTTAATTTATTTATCAATAACATTGTATTACCTTTTCTGATATTAGTCACATCACAAAAATCACTGGCCTGTACAATTTAATTAAAATATTTTTTATAATAAATGAATTTACTAGAAATTTGTCAAATACTCATTTTTCAATTTGATTCCCCTAATGGGGAGTGTTAGCAGGGGTAGTTACTTCGTCACCCCTCAAACTATTATACGAGATTTGTTTTTTCCCTCTATTATGACCTTTCCCACTTTTACGGTAATTGGTTTCACATTGTACTAAATCAAAGTAACTGTTAAAAAATAATGAATATGCAAGGAGCCCCCTCAATTATCCTAAATGGTTTCAAATTGCATCTTTAACTTTGTCATTTGGTTTCATGTTGTGCCAACGGATTTTTTTTTTTGTACAAAGTTTCAACATCGGTTTGAAAATGTAATAATATGAAATGAAATACTATAATTTAAAGGAGAAAATGAGAAATTCATTGTTAATTGAGATAAGAAAAAACTAATGCTATACTTTGTAACATCGTTAATGTTGGGTGGATTTTTTAAATGTGGCAAAATCACTTATTGAAATTTCTTATTTGTATAATGCAATTTAGAATAAAATAGTGACAAGTAAGAACAAAATAGTAACATGTAAATCTATAATTAAACAAACTGATTCGTTTGCAGATCATAAACTATGCTTGAATTTTGTAAATTAAGGTTAGTGTTTGACAATATGTCTTTAAGATAAATTTTGTCCCGACAATTGGTGCTTATGAAAATCTCAGTGTTTGCATCTTAAGATACAATGATCTTTATCCAATTAAAAGTAACACTCTAATTCAATTGTCCAACAAACCAAAATTGTGTTGTATTCTTAGAAAATCCAAGCTACTAATGACGAATTTATGAATGTGATGACTGCCTTAATTTGTAATGTAATTTAGAAGTGATCAAAATATATGATTACAGTTTTGGTATTGACATCGAGTCTTTCTCTTACCTTGTGTCAACATCATGGCACACAGAGAAAGTACTTGAGTTGCTGTAAGGTTCAATGGTTACTTATGATATAACTAAGCCATGCTATTTCATAGTTCCGAAAATGGAAGCCAGAGCAAGAGTAGTAATAGCTAATCTTAACCATCCTGCCATTTCTGACTTTAGGAAGAAATGGAGTAAGGAATGATTGAATTGAGTTGATGAGTTGCTGAGTTATTGAGTTGATGAGTTGATGAGTTATTGAGTTCATGAGTCTTTCATGTATTATTTCAATCCCTGGGATTGAGTTATTGAGTTCATGAGTTGATGAGTCCTATCTTATTTCCTTTCCTGATATTGTAATTTATTTCCCTGGGATTGGGAAAACGTATTATTAAGGATTTGCTTGCACAAGCGAAAGCCCTCTCCTTCCCCCTCCTGACGCTTTAGCTTCTTTTGATAAGGGCTAAGCGAGGGTTGTCCTGAGCTCTGATTTAGTTAATGAATTTAGATTATTTATAGACAAAATGATGACTATTTCGAACAGCCACCATATAAACAGATGCAACATAGAAGACATCATTCATGTTTACCCAATAATGAACAGATACGAATTTGAATTCAAATTTAAACTAGTGCAAAATTTGAATTCCAAAGGGCAAAAATTAAAATTTGGGTTAAGAATTTATGACCCAATTAGTTAAACGAATATTCTCTAAAAACAAATTTGGTTTAGTTCACCCCCACACCCAAGCCGAGTTGGGGCAGGAGATGGCAATATGTGTGCATGTTGTTGAATTGAAGCTCATATAGGTGCTTACTCCACTCACAAAAATGTGATAGCTCATAGGGTCCAATCCATAATACAAACTTGATACATATATGCACCTGTAAAATTTTTACTCGATTTGAGTAAGTGAATATACTACATTATTCTCCTCACGGAATAGAACATGTGCTCACAAAAATTTACTTGAAATGATGAGTTGATCCCACTTTAATTTATGTTCAAAATCGACCAAAAATTAAATTTTAATTACTAAAATCTGTTTTAATCCAATAATTAATACTAGTGGCCCAACAACCACGACAACCATGTGACGATTTTTATCAGCATAAAAGCTTCGCAATTTGTATTTTCTTTTCCTTGTCATTAATGACAATAGGTTTTTCTCTTCGTTTTTTGTTATTATTTTTCATACCCTCTCAATTTTTTTCTTTGCGAGAAACAAGAATTAGGGGTGCAACTCGGACGGGTTGGACGGGCTGAAGGGTCAACCTTAGCTCAACCCTATATATATAATCTTTTACTCGAGCCCAAGCCCTAGTTCGAACCCGATTTCAACCCAAGGTACTCAACTTGAGTATTGTCCAAGTTGAATTCAGGCAAGCACAACACAAAGAGATTAAACCAAAAAGGCCAAAATATCATAGCCACCCCATTGCCACCATAACCATTACCAATAGCCATTGCCACTGTCACCACAACTATTGCCCATAGCCACCGCCACTACCACCAGAACCATTGCCCCTTGCCACAACAGCCACCATGTCATTGCCTACATAGTCACCACACTACAGATGTTTCCCACACAGCCACCATACCACAACCACCAAATCCGACCATCGTTTTGGTCATCGGCGCCATAGCCACTAGATCTCCGCCAAATCTGAGATGCAACCATTGTTGTAGTCTTCGGCACAAAGAGGGAGTGAGAGGGAGGTCGAGAGAGAGTAAGAGAGATACTGAGAGATGGAGAGTTGAGAACGAGAGAGGTGTTGATGCAGAAAGCAAAAATGAAACCTTCGCTTTATAAATTTTTTTTTAAGTTGTCGGGTTCGGGTTGAACCCAAAAATCCGAGGCATCTACCTGAGGTATGCCCGAATTTAATTCGGGTTAGAGTTTTTTTGGCCCAGGCCTAACCCAAGTATTAAAAATTCTAACTCAAGCCCTATTTTTTTTGAGTTGTATTTGGATTGGCCTGCTCAAGTTGCACCCCTAACAAGAATACAGTCTAAAGCTCCTATTTGTCCTCACAATAATAACATGCTTATAGCTATTTATTGTAAGTTGCAAGAAAGATCATTAGCAGAACGTCTTCAATCCAAAGCAAAATGGGGTTTCTTGTAAGTTGCAAGAAAGAGGCAACACAATTCCTGTTTAGAATTAGAACGCTAACGAAGTTAAAAGAAAGAGAGAGAAAGTAAATTAGGTCCCCATAAAATTTTAGACGAACAATGAAAGCAGCAGAAATGGAAAAAAAAAAAGAAGAGAAAGAGAGTCTTTCTACCAAAGTCCTAGCAAATTACTTTGGTTTTCCTATCCATGACAAATTTCTTCCAAGCATCAATTATTTCCCTTTGTGTCTCAAGTTCTGTTCTCTTCACCACGGTGCCATTTTTCACTTTTTGATCACTGGACATCATATTGGCACTTATTTTAGTAGGGAGGGTATCCAATTTATGGAGGACCATTGTGATATCATCCACTAGGCGCTTGGTTAGGGTGCATGAGAAATCTTCCCTCACGACAACCTGAAGCACTGTCACATGTTGAGCATCCGGTGGCGTGGTGTAGGCAGGCATGATCCATTGAAAATTACGCAGCATATCTGACACATCAAACTCGTTGTACCGACTCTTCTCCTTAAGAGAGAAGGCAACAACTGGAACACCATTGTCCTTGGACACAATGTTGAATCGGCCTGTCTTCTACAATCCTTGTTTCAGCAGGAAAGCGTTGTCTCGACAATTTTCCATGACATTTTGGTATCCCTAAGAGCAAAATATTTTTGCGACAATTAGTTAATATGGCAATAAGCTACATATGCATCCACACACGTTAAATTGAATTTTGAGAGAATTACACTTTGATCCCTTCAACTAAGTCTCCTACACTACATCCTCTTCAATATTACCTTCTTTATGTCTCCACTATATTATATTTATATTGCACATCCGTCCAACTATGGTTATTGGTTTTATAGTGCTCATATTGTAGACATTGAAAACATCTATTTAACTACAAATGTGGAAATGTTTTGTCCAAAACGTCTGGTTTTGAGACAACATGAAAACCATGCAAATAATTGACGAGACATTGTGCAAAATTCAATTATTGAAGGTGTGAAGTTAGATTGAGAGCATAATTGAAGGGGTCAAAATTTAATTTACCCTTGGAAAACTTAAGCATCTCATTAGATTCACCTCATAACCCAAGCGAATTAGTTGATAATACTGAGCAATAACTTGGTTTGAACCTAAAAATGGTGGAGAGATGACATTAGGAAACTAAAACAAGTGTCATGATTTAAGAACAAAAAATGATGTGTTTGTAGTCACCTTTAGAGAAATTGAGGGTGAAGGTAGGTTGATCAGCTCCAAGGTAGTTGATGTGAAAGATAAGTTCCTCAGGTAAGTCTTCTTTGGTCCTCCAAATCACCCACCCAATTCCAGCATACACAAGACCATATTTATGCCCACTAACATTGATGCTCTTCACTAATAGAAGTCGAAATTCCCACTCGAGCTCTGGATAGAGAAATGGTGCAATGAATCCACCACTGGCTGCATCCACATGAATTGGGGTATCCCACTTGTAGAATTGAACATAACAGAAATAGATAAGTTAATACATATAATTGAAAAATTGAAGATTCCCAACACTGAGCTGTAAGTGGTTCTTAAGACTTTTGAGTACCCAGTTTGCTTGTTCTTTTCAAGCAAAAGAGCATTCAAGAGCTTGACATCTTCGAATTCTCCATTGAGAGTCGAACCCAAGATAGCAGCTACACAGATGGTGAAGGGGCTAGCCCCCATTATTGCACATGTTATAGCATTTAATGAGCTCACGTGAGGTTGATAAGATGAGGCACGTGTTGGAGATATCAACCATTCAGTCAAAATGTCAAATGGTCCTGGCCAAACTAACCAACATTGTTCGGCAAAGCCATGTAAGAGCTCGGCTTTTACTAAATCGAGTTGATCAATGTGTTTGGCAAGTGCTCGGCTTTCACTGTGACCGAGCTATTTGAAACAGAAGATAGAAAGATAAAGAAAAACCTTTAACTTAGGCATTTTAAATGAATGAGATTGCGGATATCAGGAGGAATTGTTAGAGAAATATCAGCGACTTCCCAAACTGCATCGCTAAATTAAAAGAAGGTATGCCACCTTGAATCAAAAATTACGGAAACTCTAATGGGATAACCAACTATAAAAAGCAAAAAAAATAAGGTAAAATGTACACTAAACTCTCTTTGTCTTCTAGCAAACGTTTCTATTCTAATACTGACTTAAGTATCGGAGTGCTTTCGGTCGAAGTACTTCGATCTTGGACAGTTTGTTCGTTTTGTAGAACAAGAAGATTAGGTGATCAGGTTCAGAGATATTCCTTACCAAAAAGATCACATCAAATTTCTTGCAGGAGGTATCATTAATTTTTTGCCTCTTTCATTTTGACGTCGTTTGTGGAAAGATTTTCATCCTTCGAAAGAAAAGTTACGATGTCAAAACTCAGAAGTGCCATTGGATCACCTGTAGGCAGCTTTGCCTTGGGAAATTTAGATCCTATATCACTTCCATCTGATAGCAACGCTAGGTTGCATATGGACAAAAGCCTATCTGGTCCCCATGAGGATGATGAGGTATCCTCAACAAGTTACAAACAAACCATGAATCAGAATCAACATGGACTAGACCGTGGTGAATCCCTCCGTGCCGAGGGGAAAAACCACTCTCTGGTGAAGTTAGTCCAATCTTTGTAGGACTGACTTGATGCTCATGACAAGTTGTTTAAACAATCTTATTCCAGAGAAAAGGATCTGATAAAGGAAAACAAAAAATTGAAAGCCAAGTTGAAGGAGATGTCCAAGAAAGATAAACGAGGGAGAGGCAGCCGAAGAGAAAGTCCCGAGAAGAAGCATGTCAGAACCAAGAGCCCTAATGACGATAAGTACCAGCAGAAGAAACCTCGGATCCAGGAGGATGACACCTGAAAGTAGTACATCATCGAGGAGCTTAACAACTGTCTTAAACGACCAGAACAGAGATTGGCAAGGGACCTAGCCAGAAGAGCGATAGGAGAATACGGAGACGACTCAAAGTCATCACCTTTCACTGCATGGCTCGAAAGTGGGAGAATCCCGAGCAAGTTCGTCATCCCAAATTTTAGACTCTACGATGGAAAGACCGATCCGGCCTCTCATATCAGGCATTATAAACAATTGATGACCATTCACCGAAGAAATGAACCTTACATTGCACAATTTTCCTTAGCAGCCTGGGAGAGTTGGCCATGAAGTGGTTCGACGGTCTGCCAAAGGATTCAATTAATGGGTGGTCACAATTGGCTGAACAGTTTACAACTCGATTCATTACGAGTAGTAAGCAGCCCAAAGATGTTGAGGTTCTGCTAACCTTGAAGAAGAAAAATAATGAAACTTTGCGAGAATATGCTCATCGTTATTGGGAGACGATGAATGAGGTTGAGGGATGCAATCCCGAAATTACAGTCGCGTCTTTTAAAATCAGGTTGCTAAAGGAGAAGCCTTTGTATCAATCATTCACCAGGAGGCCGATCACCAATCTAGAAGAATTGATGGCATGAATCAAGAAATATGCCAAAGTCGATGACGACTTAGCCAGAGATGTTACAAAAGAACATCAAGTCAGGAAGCCGTTCGGTCGTGACAAGTACTCTGAACTGAGCAGAGAGGTCGAAGGAGGAATGAGAAGGAAAGTTACCCCTAGAAATCCCCTTTTCTTGGGGTAAACACGTTATTTAAAGAACAAATTTACAAGATATTAAATCAGATCAAAGCAAAGCCATTTTTTAAGTGGCCCAATAAGTTAATAGGGGATCCTTCGAAGAGAAACTCGAATTACAAATGTTCATATCATCGAGATGTGGGTCATATGACCGAAAATTGCTAGTCTTTAAAGCAACACTTAGAGGAACTAGTCCAGACTAGGCATCTAGCCGAGTTCATCAAAGGTGAGGCAAGGATCGATGGAGGGAGAACCGAACAAAAAGTAGATCAAAACACCCCGACAGGGGTGATAGATGTAATACACGCTGTGACGAATCCATAGATGTCAACGAACAATGCTGTAAGGGCGTACATTTAGAAAGTCGCCAAGGAGAGGGAAGTCTACCAATTGCGATTAATCCTAGAGGTGAGGAACAACAGAACTAAGGTGGAGGAATTAGCCGAGGGTATTTGCTTCACCGAGTAGGATCTGGTTGGGGTTCATCATCTACACAACGACGCATTAGTAGTCACTCTCAGGATTGCCAACTACGATGTGAGATGAATTCTAATTGATCTAGGGAGTTCCTCAAAAATATTGTACATGGATCTATTCGAAAAGCTCAGCCTCAAATAGGTGAACCTAAAGCCTTCAAATATACGACTGGTTAGTTTCAGTGGAAAAATAGTTCTTCCTAGGGGAAGGATCACACTGCCTATAAAGACTAGACCGGTTTGCATCATAATCGAATTCCTGGTAGTGGATATAGTCTTGGCTTATAATGCAATAATAGGCCGATCTTGGCTACATGGCATGAAGGCGGTACCATCAACGTACCACCAGATGCTGAGATTCCCGTTGTCAGAAGGAATAGTAAACATCTGAGGAGATCAGGTTAGTTCTAGAACATGTTTGCTGACCTCGGTCAAAACCAAAGATGGAACAGAGATTCGAGAGAGAAGTTCAATAGCCGAGGATGTGAAATAACAATCAATACCTGACAGCTCGATTGATTCTGCCAAACAAACTGTCATCAAGATACCTAAAGTACCTTTAGGCACAGAAAAAGAAGTGACGGACCGAACAATAAAGGACTTGACTAAAGTACCTTTAGAGAAGGATGAAGATCTAGAGAAGTATTTTCTATTGGGAACGACCCTTACTCTCGAGAAAAAAGATGAGCTTGTGACCTTATTGCGACAATATGCCGATATTTTTGCTTGACGCACGAGTGACATGCCCGCCATACTGTTCGAAGTGACATGTCATCGATTAAACATAGATCCTAGCTTCAAGCTAGTCAAACAAAAACTCAGGAGATCGGCCCTACAGCATCAAGATGCAGTCAAGGAGGAAGTATCTTGGTTACTAGAATTCCAAACAATTAGGGAAGTACAGTACCCGACCTGGCTGTCGAACACAGTGGTGGTGAAGAAGAAGAACAAGAAATGGAGAGTATGTGTTGATTTCACCGATCTCAACAAAGCTTGCCCTAAAGACAACTTTTCCTTGCCAAAGATAGATCAGTTGGTCGACGCAACTGTCGGGCATGAGCAAATAAGCTTCCTAGATGCCTACAGGGGGTACCACCAAATTCCCCTTGCCAAAGAAGATCAAGAGAAGACTGCCTTTATAACACCAGAGGGGACATACTATTATAGGGTAATGCCTTTCAGGTTGAAGAATGTTGGGCAACATATCAAAGGTTAGTCACTAAAATGTTTTCACACATGATAGACCATACTATTGAAGTCTATATCGACGATATGGTGGTAAAGAGTCGAAGGGTCGCCAGTCACTACTTCGAGTTGAAAAATGTGTTCAATGTTCTGCGAAGGTACAAGATGAAATTAAACGCTTCAAAGTGTGCATTTGGGGATGGATCGGGCATGTTCCTTGGCTTCTTGGTTACCCACCGAGGAATATAGGTGAATCCCGACCAGGTCAAGGCTATTACCGAATTGCAGTCACCTCGGACTATAAAGGAGGTACAAAGGTTAACCGGAATGGCGGCTGCACTCTGGAGGTTCATATCCCGAGCATCTGATAAGCGCATAACCTTTTTCCAAATAATCAATTGAAAGAAAGGTACACTATGGAGTCAGGAATTTGAGGAAGCGTTTGTAACTCTTAAGACATACCTGGCCTCACCACCGACCCTATCAACCCCATTGCCCGAAGAAAAGCTTTTTCTCTACCTGGCTGTATCAGAACATGCTATGAGTGGGGCGTTGATGAGAAATGATCGTGAAAGGTTGAAACCCGTTTACTACGTGAGCAAGATGCTCTTAGATGCTGAGTCAAGGTACACTCCATTGAAAAAACTCGTTCTCGCACTAATAAGCTCGGCTAGGAACCTCAGAAATTAAGTAACGAATGTTGAAGTTCAATATTAGTTTGTGAATTCATCTAACCTTGGTAGTGTAGTTTAGAAATAAACACACACCCTTGTGACCTATATTCTAAGATTCCATAGAGCATAATGAATCTTTATTAATTTCTGTGATCACGACAATAGACATCGAATTAATATAGGTATAGGTGTTATACCTTGAAAGAGGATATCGCATCAAAAAGAGAAATCCAGTCATTGTAATTAGCAAAGCATTACAGCAATCAACTAGGTTTAATCTCATTGAAGGAATTCAATTGATGAAATCCAAGCCCTAGGAACCTTTCATATTTGAATTTTCAGTTAGTCACATCAGATTGGGATTGTCTAAATAATATAGGAAATTTTATAAATTGGTACTTGAATCTCCTCGTGGAAATGATACTTTTTTTGCCCTGTTCTACTTGTTATAACCCATGCACTTGTGGTAGAGTTTAGGGTCCATCACTATTATAAACCAAGAAGGGCAATTGCCCCTCTTTCCTGAAATAGACATTATATACCATTATCCGGGATAAGGTGTGACATTTCGATATCAAAACCTAAATTTATAAGGTTCTATACACAAAATAGTCTAGGTTAGCAGTGAATAGTTTAGGGTATCAGAAAGTTGTCAAGTCGAGTCAAACATATATGTGCTAATGTTAAGCATATGTATGCTTATCTATTTTGATTT